AGAAATAAAAATGACAGGATTCAATACTCATCTTTCATTAATAATTCTAAATATTAATGGACTGCACACCCCAGTCAAAAGACAGACTAGGTGAATGGGTTAAGAAACAAAACCCATCTTTTTGTTGTCTGCAAGAAACCCATCTCACTTTCAAGGACAGACACTATCTTAAAGTGAAAGGATGGAAAAAAATATACCAAGCAAATAGTCCTAAGAGAAAAGCAGGCATTGCAATTCTGATATCTGACAAAATAGTCTTTAAACTAAAAGTAATCAGAAGAGGTAAAGAGGGCCACTTCATTCTGTTCAAAGGAACAATAAAATCAAGAAGATACTACAATCCTGAACATACATTCACCAAACTCTGGTGCACCCAACTTCATAAAAACAATACTACAGGACTTTAAGACCCAGATCAATCCCAACTAATTAATAGTAGGGGACGTTAATACCCCACTCTCTCCATTAGATAGGTCAACAGGGCAGAGAGTTAACAGAGAGACATCTGAATTAAACAATACCACATATCAAATGGACCTAACAGACATTTACCGAGTATTCCACCCAAGCACCAAAGTACAATACTTTCTACTCAGCACCCTGAGGAACCTTGTCCAAAATCGACTATATACTGGGGCACAAGACAAACCTCAATAAATACAAAAAGATTGAAATAATTCCATGCATTCTATCAGAGCAAAATGCAATAAAGCTCAAAATCAACACTGGACAAAACCCTAGTAACTACATGAACACATGGAGATTAAACAACACATTCCTGAATGATGACTGGGTCAAAAGAGAAATTAAGAAAAATAAAAGTATTCCTGGAACTAAATAAAAAGGACAATACAACACAACAAAACGTCTGGGACACACTGAAAACATTCCTTAGAGGGAAGTTTATAAGTACCTATATCAAAAAATCAGAAAGAACACAAATAAATGACTTAACATTGCAACTCAAGACACTTGAAAAGCAACAACAAATGAAACCCAATCCCAGCAGACAAGAAGAAATAACAAAAATCAGGGCAGAAATTAATGAAATTGAAACAAAGAAAACAATACAAAGAATCAACGAATCCAAGAGCTGGTTCTTTGAAAAAATAAACAAGATTGACAGACCATTAGCCCAGTTAACAAAAAGAAAGAAAGAGCTCCTCCAAATCAACAGAATCAGCGATG